TTATATTCATTAAAAAATCAATAATATTACTTATTTTACTATGTACATAGAATTTGTAATTCACCGAAGATCTCTATTAAAATGTTTACATAAAATTCACAAGAGTAAACACATTTTCTATTTAAAGGGCTATCACCTTTTGTTTGAAATTTATACATATAATAATGACTAGCAATATTCAATCAAAATGTTGGTCATGATGTACAAATAAAATTATTAACGGCGTAATTAAGCTTTACAAAGTAAATTTTCTGAATTGTGTATACTCAGGTGTAAAAAACATAAACAAAGCAAATATCAACAAAAGAGAGGATATTATTTTCGAAATTGACGCATTGTGCGATTTGTCACGTGTTTGTCCTGTAGGGTCGTTATCATTATTCGCAGAAAACGAATGGGTTCGAACTCGTCAATAATACAGTGACAACAATATGCCTGTAATTAACAAAACAAAAAAGGCTATGGTAACATTTTAAGAGTAATTTGCATTGTAACATTGTTCCACAAACAAATGTGTAAGACAAAGAGAAAATTAACTTTAAGTCACGACCACGTGATAGTGTCTATTGAACAGAACCTATTTTTAACGAAAAGTATGTACACAGTATGGTAAATTAAGTATTTGATTTAACATTACAATTACGTAAATGAAAAATAACTGTTTCAGTCGCGATAAAAAAAAAATAAAAATTTTAAATAATGGATTACTTAAAATTTGGTTAACGTTCTATAAATAATGGCATTCGTAATAAAACTAATTTTTATGTAATGTACGATAGTATAAAATCAATTTTATCAGTTTACGTCAATAAAAAATTCTCTAATAGTAATATTCTATAATTCAAACAATAGCTGATATTTGTTTCGAGGTTGTTGAACTTCAAATATTATTTTTGTACTGTTATAAAATTTAACAGCAAAAAACCAATCAAATTGGAATAAACAAAACAATACCAGAGTACTGAATAAATTACTTAAAAAAAAAAATCACGATATGAACGATAGCGTGCATATGAGTTTTATTATAGGGTCAAGAATCATGTCTAGTAACAATGTCATTGATTGATGAAAATATGACATTAGAAAAATATTAGTTGATCTTGAAAAACGTTTGATCTTAACCCAATATATTTTTTAAGGAAAACAATATCAAGATCAGTCAGTAGATAATTTACATGTAGTTAACGTAAAAGCGAAAATTGCCAATTTTGATCTACCAACGTCTATGGATATATAATATTAATATTTACACTTTAAACGATATGTGTAAAAGTAATAAGAATTAAAAAAAAAAACATAAATGATATTATTTGAATATTTGTACATTTTATTTACCTAATAACATCAAAATTATTTATTATTTACTATTGGTAAATGAAATATGAATATATATACTACAGGCGACATTTCAAAGACAACCTATTCCCGCCGTTAATAGTCGCTATATATCCAAAGCGCATTGTGAAGACGTTGCATAACACTTAGTACTATTAAAATATACACAAAAACATATTTATTAACACTAATTACTATCAAATATACGAGTTTTATTGTTTTATGACTAAATAACAATACCAAGCATTTTTTTTTTTTTTTTTAATAGCCAATTTCAATTAAAAATACAAATCTAACAAAAGTATTCAAAAATAATTTACCTTAATTATTATTTATATTTTTAACTAATGCTTTTCATAATTAAAACCATAAGACCTTATTTCGTTAGTTAAAAAAAAATAAAGAAATAACATACTAATAGTTCTAACTAGAACAGACTACTAAATTAATTGAATTTTGTCATTAAATTACCAAGTTCAAGGTTAAAAACAGTAACTACAACACCAATAGAAATATATATATATATATCATTTACTCATTTAAACACTTTTCATAGAAAATGAAATAAGTTTATAATTAAGAAAGCATCATACATTTGTTGTCTATAAATTATTTATATCGTTGAACAAAATGATAAAACATATTTCTGGTTCTAGGTAAAAATTTCTAGAAGTGCTATTTTATTAACATATGTATAGGTTAATAATATTACCTATATAAATACTAATATTTAATCCAGGAAATATTTAAACATAATAAGGAAATAGGACGAAAGCTTAGTTATTATTACTTACAATTGTTACATTAATAACATGAGGAGTTTAACCAAGGTTATGAGTCGGAGGCTTAACTGCAGGACACAAATAAAAATCTAACACAAAAGTAGAATTGAACTCGTATAAAATAAAATACTATGATTGTGACACTATGAAAAAAGATAATGGACACAACTGCATGCGATACTACAAAATACGCTGTAAATTTTGCAAGGACGCTAAGAATATACATTTATTAAAGTCATTAAGTGTTAAAGTCATTTTTTTTTTCTAAGAGCTCTAAGTATTAGAACAAGCAGAGGACATATTTTTTACCATATTGTCATAAAATTACTACAAAAAAATAGGGTTTAACTCAATATTAAACAAAACATGTCGAGTCAATTTTCTAAAATAGTTCTACTATAATTGCACCCTGAAATCATCAAGGGGTCTGGAACTCCCTGATTAAACACTGGGTTAAAATATATGCTGAAAACAACAGTTCACTTGCCCATTTCAATTTTTATGATTTTCGATCGAATGTTATTCCGTCCGTAAGACATAGATCTGTACAATAAATAATAATAGTATATTGCATACTAACTTTTTTTATATAAAAACAATTTCTACATTTTATCTTTCACAGCCTTGAAAAATTTGTGCGAGGGAGCTATAGTTCCATATTCTACTTCGTAATTTGGATTATGAAGTAGAATTGGATATTTAAGATTCTTACCCGACGATTTATTATCTCTCCCTCCTTAAAATATTAATAGACTTACAAATGTTTTACAAATTAAAAATGTTACATAATAACATTTCAGCTCATCCAAAGTCCCCTAGACCTCATTAAAACTGCGCTAATGGTATTTCATTACATATATCTAAAAGTATATTGACCCGATAGTACTTGGAAGAGTTTATTTAAAAATTCATTGTTTCAGGCTTTATTTAAGAGTTACCGAATATTGTAAACTTGGCAAAAGTTTTTTTGGCATTTATTAAGGTGGTACTGCATTGACTCATTAACCAAACATTTTAAGTTGATTTGGTTCCATTTTTTTATTTAAAAAAAAATGAAATCTCTAAATAAATTTGGGACAATCCCAAAGTAAATTTCTAATTTATTACGACTTTTTATAGAACAACCAGAAAATCATGAAAAAATGTAGAGTAGTCAAATTTCACGTTGAAACCATGCCATACATATTTGCACTAAAATCTGAGTTACTTGATTAATGAAAACATTTAAGTAACTTTCATAACAAATAAATTGAAGAATAAATTGTTACGATATTTAAAGAATATATCTAAAGGATAATATAATATTAAATATTTAATTATAATGTAGTTTTAATGATTACAAAAAAGAATTATTAATTTTCAAAAGGAAAAAGATAAATTACTGATTATATTAATTAAAATTTTGATTCTTCGTTCAATTTTAGCTAATTTTTTATCACCTCGATAATTTAAGGTCAACCGGAATAAGAGTAATTTGTGCTTACCAATCATCATCAAACGTGTCTCATAAAAATGATATCGGATAGTAATTAAAACTACATATGATATGATACTATCTTAAGACCAAAGTTCATTTTTTAATATTTTTACATTCTTAGACAAATTAAAAAAATTATTTTTTTTTTACAAAAATGATAAACATTAATTATTTTGTTTAAACCAAAAATAGTGACACTTATGTAGATTTCTTTACGATTTTACTTTATGTTGTTTAATAATTGTTTTGATAATAAAGAAGCATTTTACTGTACGTCATTGTTTATTATAAAAGTTGAAGTCCATTATAATAATAAATAAAATATAAATTGTATGTATGTAACTGACGTACTTTATATAATAATTAAAAAATTACTAATTATTATTAATAAACTCAAGTCAATCATTTCAAACATTATTTTTAATACTGAATCACGTTCTATTTGAATTAAGTTATCAATAAAACAGTTTTTTAAAATTAAACATTAAGTAATAAAAAAGAGAATTGAATTAAAACTTAAAAAAATAATTTATATTTTTATTAAAAATTTCTTTACTTTGTAAAGCAAAGTAATCAGGGATATTTTACTCAGGTGAGATTGTAGCTTCACTTACAGACATAGAAACTGAAGTCACAATTATTTACTTATTAATTAATGGAAACAACAGCTGTGAATTGCAGAAACTAAATATTCTGCTATGATAAGAAAATAATTACACATTCATACTTGAAATAAATGTACAGCATTAAACTATTTTAAAAAATAAACTTATGAACTTATAATGAAAAAAATATATAAATAAATTTTAGATAAATATAATAAAACAAAATAGACGTATATTTTATGTCATTCGCTAAAAATAAGTGTAAAAATCAGTTTTTAAAAATGTCTTATTATATAATAAAACATTGAAAAATTAGTCAATGCTGAAAACTTATATTACGATAACTGATTTTTAAAAATTATTTTTTTTTAGTAAGACTTTAGCGACATTTTTCTGGTAAAATTATTTGCGAAGATGAGAAAATTCTTTTTAGCACTCTGTCAGCATTTAAACATTTTATCAAAAATGTTAATTGCAAACTGTCAATGTTTTTAAATTTAAAACTATTATTATGTAAATAATATTCTAAAACAAAGCTATATAAGTAACATAAGACAATGACTGATAATTATCATAATTATAATTATATTTTCAACCCATCCCCTTTAAACAGTCAAGTTATAATACAAAATTTTTAGTAAAATCCTAAGAATAACTAATATACTATGTTTAAATTTCTTGTTTATTTTATACAACAATTCTTAATAGAAGTTTTCTGTTAATTTTACTATAAAATGTAAAGATCAATGAAAGACCATAAACCATAAGATTAAAATTTAACTACGTATATATTATACATACCGGGTAGAATCTTGTAGTAATAAATGAGGAGGAACCCAAAACTTAACTCTGAGAGCAAAGCGATATGGGTGAACACCACCCACTTGATTTTCTATAGGATTTCTTAAATTTAACCATACATCTTGACCTTTTACTGTTTTATACTGCAATCCGAAGTAATCACATTCTTTATTTATTCCCAAACATTCACAAACCTGTGCAATGAACAAGCAAATAGAAAACATTATTTTATTAAGATTATTTTATTATTATTATTTTAACATTATTTAATTAAGATAATACAGACACCAGCAGTTTAAAAATTTCATGGTAACTTTAAATTTTTCATATCAAGTAATAATATAAAATTCATGAGTTCAAAATATTAACTTTTGAAAAATACTTCTTTTCTGTTGTAATTCAGTTTACTTAATAAAATTTGTTATTTTGAAAATTAACTATAATTTTAGCGAATATATATTATATATACTGTAAAATAACATGGTGTTTTGAAATTAAAATTAAATTTTCTCAATTTACAAAAATTTTACTTATCTTGTTTTTTGTGTGTGTAATACCTTCATAATAATAATGACTTAATTTAACAACTTTATGAAATCATTTTATACTATCACTATTCTATATAATATTTAAGAAATTAGTATAAATCTCTAGTCGTTTCATTTCTAACCAATCAAAATATAATTAATTGACATATTTTAATCCTTTATTATAATTTAAATTTACTATAGCAATTATAACTATATTAACTTTTTCCTATTAAATCTTTAAACACTCTTTAGAGGATTTCTAAAAAACAAATCTAAAACGTAATGTAATCAGTTTTAATTTAAAAATTAAATAAGTATTTAAATGTTATTTTAAAAGTATCATATCAAAACATATTAGTAGGGTAATATCACCAACGAACAAACACTACTATTATTTTAACTAAAAAGTTTTCTCTTATTAAAACAAGTTGTAGTTAGTAATTTTTACAACAACAAAAAAGACTAAATTAAGTTCTATTAAAATATCAAAATTTCTGATCAATATCATTAACTGTTCACTCACTGAAAAAATCAAATTTTTGAACATAAAATGATTATTATAATTTTACAGAAAGTTGAAAATTTTCTAGAAAACAAATATTTTTAACTTAATTAAAATATAAATCAAAGAATTATAAAAATTAAAAAATCTTAACTGTTTATTCGTAAATGAAGTCATCCTATTTTAAGGAACATAAAAAATATGTCCTTATATCCATTAAAAATAAATAAAATTAACTTAACAAAAAATACTTGAAAAAATGAAGCAAATTTTGAAGCTTATGATAGTAGTATTAATAACGAAAACCTATTTTTTGAAATAAGTGTATTCATTGATTTTTGAAAGTGCTGTTTTTTGGTATTAAGTTAATTTCATTTATTTTTAATCAATTAATCACAAGTAATCAATTATCATTTTTGGTGATTAATTAATGGTTCTCATTAATTTAGAAACGAAATATTACTGTAATACCTTTTCTAGGCATTCTAGTCCCTTAGCTTTATGGTCTAGTCTGACTTCTATCACAACGGCGTTCGGTTGACTCACAAAGCACCACATTTTCACCGTATTTCATCTCACTCAATAATACAGTTTTTAATCGTCTTCTAGGTACGACCGTCACGTGAAGTATCGAAAACAGCACGATAAAGTGAACAATAAATTCGAATACAACAGTTCGTATAACAATAAAAACAATGATATAATCTGGATAAAATCGGAACGGTAATGCTGAAACGGCACATGTATCGTAGGGTAGAGTACAGCAGACAATAAATACTGCGATAGGCGACGTACGTGATAACAACCACGAAAGTTCCTAGGCAAATGAAACACAAAAAAATAATATTAATGAGAAACAACAATAACAACGTGCGGATAAAATGTAAATACTGTAAAGAACATAGCCGATCACGCACCAGCTGGAAATGAAATTTGACGGCAGCGCCGTTGTACTAAGGTACTCGGTCTGTATTACAATGTTACTAGTGCTGCTACGAACAGCGATGACAGCTGTTTCAAGTTCTTCTTTGTCTAAAGTTGTCGTGCGCTGTTGCCGTATATTACCCACTTACTATTGTTCCAACGTTGCCAGTTTTTAGATTATCGAAGTCAAATAAGAAATAATCCAAATGCATTATTTCTATTATTACAGCTACTATTTTTATACAGAAACTACATTGATTTTTTTTATAAATAGTTTACGATAATCTTGTGTACGATCGGAAATCTTTATTCAATGACTCTATTTTATCTCAACGTTATTATGTCACTCGCACACGAGTTATTTACCATGTGTTGTAAACAGAATAAATTAAGAATAATTAGAGCCTATTCTTTCTCCACGTGCGTTTTCTTTGAATACAATTCTTTAGAACCGTTGCCCATCATAGACATTATTCGTTTAAATTTCGGAGGTATTGAACTATTATAAATAACAATCAAAAGGTACACATTTTTTCTCTTTTTATTATTTTGTCATCTAAAAAAATTATTATTTCATCAGTTAACAAAGTAAAAAAATGTAATGTTGAGCATTACGTTTTTTTCATTTATTTATACAGATATATTTCGTATAAATAAATAAAGTACCCTACTTTCTGTGATATATCCATGTTGCCCTTATCTATTTAAACTTCATGTTAAAATTATAAATTATTTTCTTTAATTATAATGAAATACAGTAATTGTAGTTTTTTTATTACTTAAAACATAGCGCAGCTATGCTAGCGAGGATTGAAGAAGCGTATCAACTAATTTTTTACTTTTCAGGAGATCAAAATATGATTTTCATTTTCTATTAAAGTTAATGAAAAAACTTTATTTTATAAAAAAAAAAAATCATATTTTTAATATACTTATGGTACACCATTTTCACATTAATTTTATATAATAATCAAAATAAACTAATAATCAAAAAATCTCAATTTTAGCTGAAAAAGTGACTGATGTGAGATTGCGTCAGGTCGACAGCCTGTGTAAAATTTTGTTAAAAAGTATGAGGAGTCCTGAACAAAACTTTGGCAGATTGTCCCTCTCGGAAATTGGCGGGGACAACAAGTAAGAGGACATAAAATAATTAGATAGGGGTAAGACCTAAAGAATAAAGAGTTTGATATTAGCCGGAGAACTTGTGCGGTAACTGTGTTTCACCAGTCATGTGAACAGAGTGATTGACTAATTGTGCCTCAGTTAATTAATCACTCTGTACAGGCCTACCCAACGCTTGTAGCGTCATCGGCGTTGGGAAATCATCACTTAACTCAAACGGTGATTGGTGAAGATTGATAGGACATGCTAATGAGAGGAGAGGATATGAAAAGGTACATGGAGGGTATAGTTTTAGTGGGAAGAATAAAGTTGGAGAAAGAAATCCAGGACTTCGCAGTATCGTATAATTTTACGATAGTTAATACTTATTTTAGAAAAAGGGAAGAACATTATATAATTTATAAGAGTGCGAGTAATATATCACAGATTGATTATATTATGTTGGACGTGGAACGAACATATAAGAGAGAATATTAATATAATATTAATTAGAAATTAAATTTTGGAGAACATAGAGGGGATCACTCCTAGAACAAAAATTATTCTTGTGATATTGTTTAAGCTTAGAATCATTTTTCACGACAGATATTTGAATATTTCCGAAATGGTTCAAAAAATTTTTATATATGTATAAAGCCCCGTGCCCTAGTTATCAATAAAGGTGGGAATTTTATGTATTCATACATTTTGTTAGTCATTTTGGGGGGTCCCAGTTTGTGCAACTTTTATGTGACTATATAGTAGAGTATTTTTCGTGTTATGATGGGATAGCACCTCTTATAACCCCCAAAACTATAACTTTGGTAACAAAACATTACTGAGTTTTCAAGTCAATTAATAAAAAAATGTTATGACGTGTTCAAAATAACTTAACTAGAATTTTTTTTCACGTTAGTATAAACAGATATTGTGTACAATAAAGAATTTACAATTATTTTTTGTAACATTTAATTTTAAATTTGTTACACTTAAAATAATATTTTAAATAACTATGTTGGTACTATTTTATATTTAATTATAATAATTTATAATTTAATAATTATATTAATTTGTTTATTTAAGGTACGTTTTAATATTTTTTCCATTTTTGTTTTAGTGTTATTAGTTTTGTCAGTATCAAAGCATTTACATTAAGCTGCGACCATTGTATTAGTAAATTTTCAAATAAATTGTAATTAATAGTCTTGTAGATTTGTAGTACACTTATACAAATTAAAAAAATAAATTTTGCGTCAAAAGATAAAAATTAAAAAAAATAAATTTATATTTTACTGTAATAGTATTAATAGTACAGATAAATTTAGAAAAAAATAACCGCTTTTAATGTACACGTAACGTTAATTAAGTTACAGCATTACTGAAAGCTTCACTTACTAGAAATAATTTATTACATCATATAAAATAAAATATTTTTATAACTTTATCTTATATCTAATGGACTACAATATTCGTGTACATTATATTATTATACAATTTGAAGGACTTAGTTATAGACCCTTCCTTTTAGGTCACTCAGTATATAAATTGTATATTGATGTATATACCTATATATTTAATATTGTTGCCAGAACTATGAATAAAGTATTAAGTTGATTAAATAACGAAGAGCGAGTAAAATTAATCCGATCATACTGATCATTATAATCAGTTTACTGATAGGTGAGAAAATGGACAAACATAAAAAAATGACGTCGCAAAATTAATACCATCTTAGCTTTACATTGAAAGTGAAATAACCACAGAAACGTTTCAAATTCTGTAAATAATGTGTTTTTTTTATTATTTATGTTCATTATCAACTACTGATAAAAAAAATGTTCATAAAATTAAAAAAAATTATTTTTTCATCATTTTGGTGATATAGAACTTGGGGTACTGATTTAGAACTAGCTATAGAACATTTGCCAGTTGTGCCTATGGTAGAAAGATAAAATATTGCATTCAGAAAATCGTTGAAAAATATTTTATTACATAGGTAAACGACAAATTTAACTGAATTTTATGAACAACTACATTCGTAATTTTGTATCTAAGTTTATTTCCAACAACAAATTAAACGATTATTATTATTGATGTTCATATTAGATTTAATTAAAGTAGTATCACATATCAAGTGAATAAAGAATTTATATGGTTATCACCTCACCTATTAAAAGGATATAAAATGATTTAAAAGATTCATATCTTAGCACGGAATAATAAAAACATTAATTTAATGTTTATTATTATTTTTTAATCAATTCGAATCAACAAAGCATTCATCACATCACAACAAATTGATTTACCTTAAACAACAAGATAATAAATTAAAATTTTATAATTCACAAAAAATATATAAATATATTATATTTAAATATCATTCATAGACTATTTTTAAACATTTAACACGTTTAAACTTAATTGTTAATTAATATACATATACTTAAATGAAAATTTTTAATAGTAACCGCTTAGTAATTCATTATTAATTAAAATAAAATTATATAATTAACGCTAAGATAACTACTTTTTAAGTATATAATTTTAATTTACTAACATATTAACTATTTACAACATACTATAATAAATATCAGTTGAGTAACATAAAAAATGTGTGTAAATTCAATCTATTTATACTCAAAGAATAATCAATTAAATCAAATTATTTGATGAAAATATATATCACATTACTATTAAAAATCTAATAATTTTGACATGTTTTACTAGGTGGGTAACAAAATACTTTAAAAAATGTATTTTAAAGCAATGTGAAAATACACAAAAATCATATTATATATTAGTGCATTTGTATGTTCATTGCTTTTGAACAAAAAGTTAAAACTAATATTAAAAATAACACAAGAAAAACAATGATTTATTTTATGCCTTAACACATTCACAGCTTTACATTAGAATATATTTGAAAATAAATAAATTTTTAAAAATACTGAATATTTATTTTTAATCATACACATTTTAATATTTTTTAATTGTTTATTATTTAAACATTATTTTAAATGTGAAATCAAGTACTTAATGATTTTTATTTTAGAACAAGTCAAATTATGTCAGGTAATAATTTATAAGATTTTGAGCAACTAAATAAAAACAATTAAAAAATTAATTTTCTGATTTTATAAGACTGTAACAGTAGTAAAAATATTATGCTTTTCAACAAAATGTAATATATGCATAAATATAACTAAACTATAACAAATGTATTTATTTTTAATATTCTTTGATTAAATGTTAAATATTAACTGTGTTTTGATCAACTTTTAATTAAAGAAATTTCATATTTATTTTAGAATGTATCTATAAAATTACTGTGTTCATTATAAAGTAGGCATATAAATAATATCAAAATTATAACTTTACTTGTGGATCACAGAATGTTCAAAATTCAGAAAAAACATACAATATATTAGAAAAGGAATTAAATTAAATTATCAATAATAGCTGGTTTATTGACAACAATAGATTAAAATGTTTTTGTATCATGTAGAATAAAAATAAATATCTATAAAAAATATATATATATGTATATGTTGTACTAGGATTAATGAATAATGAGTAACATTTAGATATACATATTATATTGTACTTAGTTTATTCAATATCAGTAGTGCTCCTTAGTTAAAATTTCTTAAGAGGTATGAACATTTAATACATTTTATAGCTTATATCAGTGCAGCGGAATGCTATATTATGTACTACTATACAATTTATTGGAAATTATTTGCCGCAAATATTTATCTTTCTTGGTTTTGTATAATTAATATTTTCAATACTTGTTTTTCAAGCATTGATGCAGTCTAAGATAATTTAGAATAACTAGGCGGTGAGAACTTTTTCCTTAAGAATTTTAAAATATATAAAGGTAAACAACTGACTAATGTGATAACAGTGACTTTCCAAAGGAATGATTCGGTTTGTATGAAATGCGAGTCTGAAAAACCATAATATTATTTAAGGAAATAATAATTAAAAAATAACCCTTTTTCTTACCAAAGTAGTCTTTGAGTAATATTAATGATAGTATATAAATAGCTAAGCTAAACAGCTCAGCTAATAACATCAGATAATGCCATGTTCGTACTGTCAGGGCAACCATAATAAGTTCTGTTAGTATTAAGGCGGTGAAACTAATTGCAACAATATGAATAAACTCATCTTCAAATAAGAACAATGCTCCATACATGATAACACCACCTAAACAAGTTGTGTAAGTTTTTCCTGCAAAACTGTACAATATAAACAATAAATTTTCTAAAATTACCTTGATAAATACTGATCAACACCCAGATAAAGAAAGTTTTGTATGATAAAGACCTTCCTTTACTTAATTCTTTATAAAGTTCAGGATAGGTTAAAGCTATTTTGGCTAGTACATCCTTATCAAGTACTAATGAAAAAACTGGGAACATAGTGTATATTGTTGCATACCTAAAAAAATAAACTAAACAATTAAAACATATTGAAAAAATTATGATTATATTTGTTTGTAAATATGAAAACATATTTAACTAATTAATAAAATAAACTACTTAATAGTAAAATATTTTTTTCTCCATTGAAAAATAAAGTACCAAGTCTTTGTTTTAGTTAAATCTTTACAACAATAATGAAATATTGAATTATAACTATATCAACAAACATTAAAAAAAATAAGACTATAGTCTTACTATTTTGTAAAACAAAATACTCATTTAAAACAACACTATACACATTTTTTGTCAAAATTTAAAAAGAAATATGAAAAAATAAATTGAATACTCTTATATAGTGTATATATAAAATATACACTTCTCTTAAGTACAAACTTTTAACTTCATTTTAATCCTTCCTGATATAAAGTTCTCTACATTTTTAACTGTATCATTAATATTTGTCTTAAAATATTATTAAACTTAAACATACTAAAATAAATTTATCAGTTGAATAAACTATTATTGCATTAGCTAAATATTTGTTTTATTGTTTTTTTTAAAGGCTTTTATGTTTAAGGTAACACAATATGTGTCAATTATTTTATAATTTCAAAAACATACCCTATCATGAGGAATCCTTGATATAAGGTGACAGAAGAGAAATAAAATACAGCTGAAAATATTGCTTGCATTGTAGATATAATAAGACCTCTATGAATAACAAATTGACTTAGTGAGGCTGAACGCTTATAACTGTATCGACCATGTACCATAAGTAATCTTGCTAAATGTGAAAACTGAGGAACTGAAAAATCAGCAGCTAGTGATGCTTGACGACCTTCTACACCAGCAATACCAATACCTAATTGAATAACAATTTATTAATGTAAGTTATAGAATATTAGTAAAACCACGAATCTTTCATTTACCAGTATCAGCGGCTTGAATCATTGATACATCATTTCCCCCATCACCAACAGCTGCTGTTCTTTTACCAGTATGTGCTTTAATAAGGGTAACAATTTGTGCTTTTTGAGTAGGTGAACATCTACAGCATATGACAGCTGGACTACGACATGCAACATCTAATAACTCTGTTTGATAGTATTGAAGACATATCTAAAAATAACAATTATTTTTAAATTAAGAAAAATCGAAATATTAAGTAATACTTATTACCTCAAGAGAATCTCCAGTAATAACAAGTGCACAATCTTGTTTTTTTCTAAAAGCGTTTAGTTGTTGATGGGCTTCAGTTCTAGTGTGAACAGGTGCAAAAATAAATAATTCTTGTGTTCGGGACACAAGCCGGGAACTTTTTGCAATACAAGTAGCTGTTTCTTGTTTGTCACCAGTTAACATCCATATCTAATTAATATAATTGTAATAAAGTATATGTTTCGAATTGAAATACAAGAACTAAAAATTAACTACTGGTATAAACATAAAAATACTTTTATTCCTGCATTTCCTAATAGTTCCAATGTCCTTCGTACATTCACTTGAAGTTTATCTTCAACACCAGTAACACATAATAATTCCATTTCGCGTTCCAAAGTGTCTACAACATTACTTACCCGTTGTGTTCTTCCAGTAACGGCTAATCTTGCAGAGTTAAGGCGAGACTAAATAAGAAACAATATAATTTAAAAATATCACAAAAGAATAACCTAATAATTAGTTAGTAAAGAAGTTCATGACTACTTCTTACTTCAAATTCAACATATTGTTCTTCAGTAAGACTCTTTTTTGCTACTACTAATGTTCGCAAACCTTCTCGTGCCATGTTACCACATTCTTCTTCCAGCCAGTCTGTATATTGTACAATAGATGACATAACTACATCAGCTCCCTTCAAATAAAATGTGATTTCACCAGAAGATATATCTTTAACTATTATACCCATACGCTTAGATTCTGAAGTGAATGGAAACATTTGAAGTATAGTATATGTAAGTACATCTTCAGTTGATGTTCTTAACTGGAGTGATGTTAGATCTCTTTTAATAACAGCTAGTCCTACATCTTCAGTCCATTTTACTAATGCAATCTAATTTTTTTTTTAATTAATTAAAATTCTAGAAATTTAACTGAAATAAATATCTCATATTAAATAAAGTTTGTCATACCTCATCAGGACTAGATGCTTGATAAGTACATTGTGAACGAGGGAGAAGACCTTCTCGTATGTAATGTTGGTCTGCTTCTGATCTAAGTTCTACTGGACTATCAGTACTGTAAAATTTTTTTTAAAAATTATAAGAAAAAAAATATTTTAAGGATAATCATTTCTTGAAAGGTAAATTACATATTTCCATGAACATTATTTTCAATAACAGGAGTGACATTATGACATAAAGCAATAGCTTTGACAGCATCATGAAGACGAGATTGTTCTGATCTTCTAATTTTAAATGATGTAGATCCTTGAGATAAATTTCTATTGTGAGTTGGTTCAACTGCCCCACAAAATGTCATCTTTAGCTGATCAGCCACCTAAAAAAAAAGGTTAAGCATAATTAGGACCTACTGTACATGCAATGAGGCATAGAAACTAGAACAGATTGATATCTGAAAGTGATAAAAAGTGTTATAAAATACTTTAGTTAGGGATCACTTCACTGGAAGTGTAAATTCTATTTATGTTGTATTTGAACGTATGTATATATACATTAATTAATATACTTATGTATTCATTAATTGTAGATTTATAAAAAAAATTTAATTGTATCGATTAAGATTAAATTAATTAATTTACAATATTCACTAAAATTATTGGAATCATTGTCATTTTGTAAAATTTATTGAACAAAAATATTTCGTCATCATTATCAGTGTTTCTTGATTTTTACAACCATGATGACCACTTTGTGGATTTTACATTCATTAACAACTCTAACTATATACGCAATTATATAGAAACCATATTTTGGTAATCTTAAATAATTAATTCTGCATCAGCTTATATGCTCCCAATCTATGGATCTGACCACACGATTACTACTACAACCTTTCCTTCACTTTCAATAGAAATTAAAAAAAACCGCCAGAAAACCAAGGAAGAAATTGACATTATTTCATATATCTAAAATTCCTATAAAAGTAGCGCTTGAACAGAAAAAAAAGGAACAAGAAGGAAAAACATTCACCATCAGTTATCACATTTACCAATTACCAGTGTGATTACTACATTTAAAGTACCTATTAATATTATTTTTCAAACTTATTATTCTTTTATATTAACAAAGACAAACAATTTTATGAAGTTTTTGTTTAAAATAGGTTTTTTTTATGATTACTTAAATGTTACGATGTTATGATATTTAATGGTTTATGTTGATAAAAAGTTATCAGTTATTTTTATGATTAATACTTATTTATAATAATATATTTATAATTTTCAAGAAAACTCATATTTTGCCCCTAAGAAGATGCGAGAGGTAATTGAAAAAAATTGTAGTGATAGGCTAATATATAGAAGTAGTTCTTATGCAACTCTATAATTTTAAATCTATTCTCAGAAATCAGGAAAAATTGTAGATGCTTAACCTTGCCATCTTTTCCCTCCTTACTCTTCTCTAAAAATTATATTTTTAACTACAGTTACTCCATGAATGTAAGTTTATAAAACTAATATTTATTATAATATTGGATTAAATAAACTACAACCACAAAAACAAAAAATTATTTTAAAATAGTGTATTTTATTTATAATGAAAGAAAAGTATTTAAATTAATGAGTTTTTACCTGATCAAAAGATTCTGCACCATAAGATACCGTTCCCAAGTGCAGTCTTTTGAACACCATTGAATTTTGTGTTAAAGTGCCAGTTTTGTCTGAAAATAAGTATGATATCCGTCCTAGTTCTTCGGGAATTGTTGTACACCTAACTACAGTATCTGGCATTTCCTCATCTCTTTGCATTGACCAAGAATAAAAGGCTTTACCCATATCAAGATTCACTCTTAAACTAAAGAAATAATGGCATCTTAATACTTTTATATCCATTAGCATAATGAAAAGTATGAACCATTAAACTAACCTGATTGGTATGATATATGAAAAAAGTAAAACAAATCTAAACATATAACGGTACCAAGGACCACTGAAGCCTTTTAAACACATCATTACAAATGCAAGTCCAACGACAGCACAAAATAATAACTGTAAAATTAAATTATTATTGTAAAAAATTAATTATAACCTGCAAAAATAGAAATAATTACTTTAGTCAACTGATTAATTTCAATATCCAGCAAACCAACTTTACTACGAGGCTGTGAATTGTTCATCACTGATCTAGTTTCTGCACCAGTGTACACCACAGCACCTAATGCTGAGCCATTAGCTACAACACAATTTGCCCATAGTGTATTTTCCACATCAAGACTTACTTCTTCACCATTATCTTGCTACAAATAAATTTAAATTATATGAAGGGAGAATTGACCTAATTTTTAGCTTCGATGCGAAGCTGAGAAGGTATTGGTTTTACTAAGATGTGTTTTTTTTTTTTGTGTGTCTGTTACCACTTTTTCTCAGCTCTCACTGAACGGATTTCTTTCAACGATACGTCAAAATATCACAAATCGTATCTAGTACAAGACATTACCCTCAAAAATTGAANGTATCTAGTCGAAGACATTACCCTTCAAAATTGAAAAAATTTCCCTCGTTCCCCGTAAATGGGGGAAACCTCCAAAAAAATTACAAATTTAAAAATCGCTAATTTTCGAAATTTTTTCAATTTCTTCTACTAAAAACTGCTGTAACTTTTTCAAAAATGAATATATTAATATAATTTTTTTTTTTATAGATGCTTGATGTCTTTACCTATCATTTAGTATATTTTTTTTGTAAATCTGACACTTAACCTGCCCACAGGGGGGGATATAAAATGACAACTTTTTCACAAAAAATTAACTTTTTCAACTTAACTTTTGAAAATGTTCCGGAAGGTCTGACACTTTTATATATATCTTAAATTAAAGCTAATGTAATGTACTTTATTATGGAAAAAAAAAATTTGACCTCTGGACTTGTCTTCGTGGTGAAAATGGCTACCAAATGCTATTATTGTGTGAAAATTCTCGATTTTATTTTTTACATTTTTAACTTTATAATGATATAACTTATTGAAAAGTGTATAGATCAACACAATTTTTTTATGAGAAATAATATTTTTTAATAATCCCTTTTTCATTCAGGATATTAATAAGAAAATAGCAGATCATGTAGCTTTTGGAATAATCCACCAATTTTATAAAATTAAACGCTATCTAAAGATTTGCATCGAAGCGTTTTTTTTTATAGTGATTTTAATCACTGTCAGATATCATTATACTTGATCCAACTATGCCACGTCACCACTGTGCCGCGACCCCCCTGTGCTGGGTTTTTATTTTTGACTTTCAAAAATGTAAAAATCAACTTAAATAATATTTATATTATATATTATGTTAAAAATTATAAAAACTAGAATTTTGACCAACAGACTATCAATTAAGTTTAAATAATGTCTAAAACCGCTCTGAAACCAACTTCTATCTTAATTAAGAGAGTGATTATAGACTCTTTTCCAGTGACAGCCTAACAACCTGTATAGTATTATAAATATTTTATAGTCCTTTACTTTGGAGGAGACAAAAATGACTGAGTCAAAAAGTTACAAAAATAATATTTACTCGTCTAAATGTGCCTATAAAACTATGTATATCTCTTTGAGGTTTTTCTGCAAAAATTGTAGCTGTGATATCAAAAAGACGAGCATCACAATCTAACTTTTGAGTATCTCCTATGGCAAGACGTAATTTCCAGTCAGTTTCGCCATCCATTTGATCTGTTCTCACAAAGCACGCACCGGATTTTTCAGTAGTTCTTAAAAGTACCATATCAGCGGGTACTCTTTGATCCTTTTCAACAAGTACCTTAAATTATTAAATTAATAATTAAAGTTACGTAGTAATTATTAATTATGTATACAGTATAATCTGTTTAATACAAGTCTTCTTAAATGACTATAAATAATTACCAGATCTCCCACTTTCAATTTAGATGATGAAACAAATTCAGTGCCAATATTATGATCTTTACCCCTAATTAGGCGTTTATATTTTTGTGAATTAACTTCTTCGTCTCTTTGCCACCTACGAATATCATCAACTCCTTCTCTAAATAACGTCACAGCCAAAACAAAAATCTGTAATAAAAATGGGTAAATTTTAGGAATAAAATATTTTAAAAACATTGAATATCAACTTACCAATGGTCCCCAATATGTATATAAATATCCTAATCTTAGCTCAGGAACAAACTGGCTCATAGCCATTAAGAGAAAATAAAGATTTAGGAAAAATTTAAATTGTTGATAGAGCACCTAAAATTTATTTTAAATTTTCTTATAATTTTTTTTTTAAATTTATTTGTGTATTCTTCTTACCTTGGGGAGGAATGTAATAATAGTGTATTTTTGATTTCGTATAACATTTGGTGAGTATTTTTCTATACTTTGTTTTCCAATTACTATAGTCCTTGATGTAAGTTCTTTTTTGCGAAAACATTTTTGCCAAATCCATTGACAAAATCTGTTAAAAAAATATATATTCTAAACTATCAAATATAAACAAGTACAAAAAGTTAAAACATAAAAATTTAATAATATTCTTCCAAATTAAAAATTGTATAATTAACACTTATACAACTAAAAATACTGTAATGGGTAAATAAAAAAAAAAACATATAAATAATATATTCTATTTTAAGTGTTCATGCAAGCAAAAAAAAATTAACAAATATAAATTTATATATTAAAAGCGCAAATATAAATTCATTCATAACAACCAAAAATAAAAAAAAAGTACCTTGCAAAACTACTGTTACAGTAAGCATTTAATCATAAATTATTATTTAAATTATATTGTTTGAATCTTTTCTAGTCTTATTATTATAAAATTAGGAAAATTAAAACTTTTAAGAATGAACTAGAAAAGATTTTTCCACAAAAATAAATCTTTAATCATTTTAAGTGTATGTATTTAGTAGCATGTGTTAATTTTATTAGTAAGCCCTAGGTTAGGATCACCTAACCTTGTTTTAGCATTATTAAAAATTAAAGGGTGAACAGAATATCAATAAATAACAATATTTTTTTAATTATTTCAAGGTTAATTAATTTTGCCATTAAAAAAATAAAATAGAATAATACATTAAAAACAAAAATTATGACTAAAATTTTGACCATGTTTAATAACATGTAATAGATAATGATTATGACATTAATGAAATTTCAATTAATAATTTTATGACAATTTTTATAGAGATGAATTAATAATGTACTAGTTTTTATTTAAAAAAATAATATAAATTTAATAAAAAATGTTAGTTTATATTTAAAGAGAAATTAAATAATTACCTTCTTTATTTTTAATTTATATTTTAAAAATGATATGCTCACCCTTTTTATTTAATATACTTCACAGTTTAGGATAATTGCATACCCAAGTATAGTTAATTGTGATCAGGCTTTATTATTATATTAGTAATAAATACTAAAGTGGGATCCTACCTTAATTTACTTTTTTTCTCTTCTGTCATGATTGAAAAATTATAAACAGGCAGGAGAATGTGTCACAATCTGAAATAAATAGGACACCAACTCCATGAAAATACCTCTGTGATATTTATCTAACTGCTATCTACTAATAAGGCTACATATTATTTTGTCCTATAATTTGACAATTATTATTGTAAACTGCACTAATGATTGTAGATGATTTAGTATTTATTTTCTTACATTATTAGATAAATTATACTGTTATAAGATAATATTTAGGTAATTAATTAACTGGAACCAGTAAATAAAATTCACTAAATAATACATTTTTCCAAGAAATCTTTTGGAATTATTTAATAAAAAAACAACAGATTAAAAGCAATAGCTTTTCAACTATACACCTAAGGTAAAATGTAAACAATGAATATTTAAGCTTGCCGATAAAACATTTCTAAACTATAATTTGGAAAACTTAAATATAAAGACTTCAAGGGTTCATCAATGTATAATATTTATTTATGCATGCAATTCGAGACTTTTCTATATAGTAGAAATTAATGCTATACTATAAATTATTTTAGCAGATTAGGTACATGCAAAAATCAATCAAAGGGATGAATTAAAAAGCCATTTTAATAAAACCTTATCAAAATATGAATGAAGAAAGAATTTTTTTAAATAAATGACTATCAGAAATGATATCACAAAAATTATATAAAAATACTAAGCAACAGAAAATAAAGAATTTTATAGTTTCTAAAAAATGAATATGTGTTGTATTTTTTTACAATGCAACAATTTGAAATTAAATAAAGAATATATTTAAAACAATTTTTTATCAAAATATTATAAAATCCAAATATACAAATATTGGGTTATATTTCATTTATTTTATAATAAACAATTTTAACTTTAAAGAGAGATAAGTCTATTATAAACAAAATTATGACAAAGTTAAGCTAATAATGTAATTAATGTTTAAATGTATATAAAAAAACTGAACTTTTAAAAACATAATTTAAAAAAAAAACCTACCAAACTAAATTGTGATAATTAAATTAATTAAAAATTATTCCTAAAAAATCTTAAAATTTACATAATTATTGTTTACTTAACTTGTTACCATACAGAAACAAAAAGAAATTCACAACATTAAGTCACATTTTTAGAATATTTACTACTATTGATAACTTTTAACCACACATAAGAATATAATAGCATTGATTCAATTTGATAAAAATTCATATTTACTAAGACAACAAAAGCAATTGAATAATAATAATGAAAATTTTAAGCGAAATTGGCTATATACAAATATATTACTAACATCATCCTGATCATAAAAATGACCAATGTTTTGGATATGATTTTTTTCCAATGTTTAAAAGTGACAACAAATTATAGAAAATCAGACTGTTTAGTCAACATTTATTAAAAATAAAGAAATTTAGCATTCCCATGGCATTATTTATAGTAATCATCAACTTTAATTAAAGCCTACTTATATTACGAAATAGGTTGTTAAAAATAATTGTAAGATGAATACAGCATGCCACCATTTCTAATATCATATAAATAACTTTTTTTTTTTTTACAAAAAATTCTAATTACAAAAAAAAATATATATACATATACATATACATATATATATATATATAAATAATTTTTTTAAGGATAAACTAATATAGTATTTATTTAAGAACAATTTTACAGTCAAACCCAATATACATGTTAGATTAATGGTAACATTAATTATTGTTAAATGCAATACATTAATATAAATAAGCCCAATATAGCACTTATGGTAGATAGGGTATCTGAATAATGAATATTTTATACAGCAAGTTCAAAATAAATAACTTTTAACACCCTTAAACAAATAAATTAGTTATTTTTTAGGATACTACAAAACTGTTGTATTAAATTCTAAGTTAATTTTATTTTTTCAATTTTATTCTACAAGCTTTAAAAAATAATTGAGACAATGAGAATATTGCTAAGAAGGATAATCTATATTGCCTATATGAAAACAACCATGCTTCAATAAGAAATCAGAAATAGTATAAAAATAATTTCCACTATAAAAATAAATTATAACTTATTAATTATCCCGATACCCTTATTGCAAGTGTAGTATCATGGATGCAAGTTAAAAAAAATATATATTTTTGACAATTTAGGATATACAATATTTAACAAAGATAAAATTATCCCATTTCAAAATGAAATTAACATCCATATGTGTATAAACGGTTTGACCTATATAATGATGCATTAAGCTAATAAAAAACAGGGTAATCAATGATGGACAGAAGTCTAATTAACTGATGAAACAATGCTCTAAAAAACCAATTCATGGTGCTAACCTGTTGAAAATGTTATTTTTTTCCCGAGGCTTAGTCAAAAGCGGAATGTCCTCTTTGACCGTTAATGTAGTAGTAGACGAAGATGAGTGCATTTCAACCAAACAAACACCTGCACCAGCGGGCGAATCCATAAATCAATCACATTATTGGCAATTGCGCCATAATGTCTGTATCGCATTAAATGTGTGCAAAAACAACAAACCCGATACAACCCGTTTACCTGAATCAACAAGTTGTTAATTTTATCGTACAATGACTAAATATTTAGTATAGACGCGTTATTGTAAAAAAGTAGAATCATACGCAATAACTCGAAATTCACAAAACACAAAGCGACGGACAAAACGAACTTACGGCGATATACTACATTAAATAACTGCAGACATATAGATATATAATCTACATGGACCAACTACTGAGCAGCAGTGAACAGAGCGAAAAATTAGTGGCGGAAAAGTGGGAGGCCTATCCGACTTCGTGGGCAAAACAACATAGCGGTTCGATATCACATAAATGTCAAGGTTCTTCTCATGGAAGAATCAATAATCTAAATTTTCCATGAGTTCAACGACCGTATGATAACATATTTAAACAGAATTTAAAACAAAAAAATCATTTTTAAAATCTATAACAGGCAATCTAGGTCTATAGCAACTAATCTACATGAGTAATTAAGAAACAAAAATGAATTGTACAAGATTGAAACCTAATATCATTTCTTCTTTTTATTTTAATATTCTCAAGTTATTTAATTAAAGCAAATTTAGCTTATAATTCTTTAAATAAAAACACCGAGCAAATTATATATATAATAATTTTAGCCATATAATAAATTAATTTAATAGTATAATATGATCAATAATGAAGTTAAAATTTAGTTTCTCAGTAAAACATGAATTTTTTCCTAAGGTTTATGGGGGAATTATTTATTTGAACAATAATATAATATAAAATTTCTATATTGTGAACTATCACATACACACATTAAATATAAAAGTATATATGTGGCTAAGAAACTCAATTTTGATATAGTACATCACAGTAAACCTAAACTTGTGAAAATATTAAAAGATACAAATTATTAATGCTTGGTATAACAAATAAATAAAAACAAGTGTAGATTACTAAAAAAATGGCCATCACCAATAATTAAATAATTGTATGTACAATAGTTACTTTTTAATTTATATTTTCTAATTTTATTGTAAAATATTTATGCATAATATCAAACAAATAATAATGAAATACTTAAAAAATGATAACCTTAAATTCTAATTTTATAATTAACTAAATAATATAATGTTTTTAATAATTAAAATATTGTCAAAAAAAAGAACCATAAATATAAAATAATAATTAATAGTTAATTATTTACTATTATTCATATAAAAAAATGAATGCATGAAAATTTTCAATTTGGTTTTAACATTCTATCAAAAGATAATAAGATAATGACTATAAAACGCTACATTCAAATACATTTATAGTTATAAAATATTCTAAATTATTTTATTTTATCTAAAGTAAAATAAATAATTACATGTATTAAAGATGTTAGCCAATAAAATCAACAACCCAACCAAACTAATTAGTTAAAACAGTTAAGCCAAAATAAAATAATTAAAAGTGAAAACATATCATTACCATAGTTAAAACAAATTTAACTACTTACCCACAAAATAACAATGAAGTCAGCCTTGTCCATCTACTTTTATAATAAATATTATGTTTTTTTAATGGTGTCATGTCATCACCAGATAAGAAGNTTATAATAAATATTATGTTTTTTTAATGGTGTCATGTCATCACAATCTGAGTCATCACCATCAAATTGTCTCTCTGCTTGACTCAATAATAATGGAATACTCTCAGTATGTAAACTTTTTTTTACCTGTGAAAATATTGCGAATGTTTTAATAAAACATATTTAATACAATTATTTCTATTTAATTCTTACTCGTTTCATTTAAATACAAATTTGTCAATATATTCAAAACTAAATTACACATTTTACAGATAAGTCTTAACTAAAATGCGCCAGTATATGTACATCTTAAATGTGCATTAAAACACAAGTACAAACTAATATTAATAGTTAAAATCATTTAGTATCAAATACGCAAATGAAAAAATAACCTTAGAAAAAGTTACTCATACAAAAATAACTCATAAAAAGAAGAAAGACAATTATAAAGATGACGAAAAAAAAACTTCAATTTTTCTTTATTTGATTAGTGATATCATTCGTGATAAAATTGAAGTAACATACGTTTTATTTATCGACCGGTAAAATAAAAAATCACTCCTATGTTCAATTATGTTATATTCTACAGGAAGCTTTGATAACACGATTAATTTAATCTGAGATAATACATTATTTCATGAAAAGTAGGTACTGGAGAATTCTTTTTAAACCGTACTTGTTTTGTTCCTTGTTCATTTCTTAAATTAGAATTACGTTATTTCTTTTTTTTTTATAATTAAAACCCTGCTACTATTATATTAATATTATAATTATAATATAGAATTAAAGTAGAGAATATATTTTCTGTGCATAGGCGCAATTTGAACAAAATGTTAAGAGAATTATTAAATTTCTCTCCTCCTATGTAACTGTAATGTATACAATACAGAACATATTTTTAAATTATCTAATTTTTACTTTATTGACTTGAATAGTGGCTGTTTTTTTAACGTACATATATGGATTTTAGGGTTGAATTATACGGAATAATCTTGTAAAAGGTGAAATTATGATATAATTAAAAATCATTTCTGGGTTAATTTTTTTTTTAGCTTCGATGCAAAGCTGAGAAGGTATTAATTTTACATGTTGTGTGTGTTTTTTTTTTTTTTTTATGTCTGTTACCACTTTTTCTCAGCTTTCACTGAACCGATTTCTTTCAGCGATACGTCAAAAGATCACAAATTGTATCTAGTCGAAGATATTACCCTCAAAAATTGAAAAAAATTCTCTCGTTCTCCATAAATGGTAAAAATCTAAAAAAAAATTACAAATTTAAAGATCGCTATTTTTCGACTTTTTTTCAATTTTTTTTACTTAAATCTGCCATAACATTTTAAAAAATCAATGATGAAAATGTATAACCGTATGCAATTTTTGTGTTAAAATTATTGATTTTGTATTTTATTTTATTTTAAAATATTTTACAAAAGTTTTTGAGTTAGATAACAATTTTTAAATTATTTGATTTTTATCCCATTTAAATTCAATAACTTTAATAAATATCAAGGATCTCATCACTGTAGTCCCTCCTTGTTTAAAGAAATTTCTTATTCATATTAAAGTTTTTTTACTATGTGATTTTTTATTATAGCTCTCATTTATATTTTTAGCTCTCACTTGACCAACTTTTTTTAACGATACATCGAATGATCACAACTAATACACCCAATTGAATAGATTTTTTTAATAAAATTTTGATTTTTTTTTAGTTAAAGTAAATCATTAAAATTAATTATCTTCTGAATATTTCAATTGTAGAGTACTTTTAATCACCAAAAATTACTTAGAAATGATTACTATGATTTCTATTTAAGTGATCTATTATAATAAAAATGCAAAAAAATATTGAGCTTTTCTGAAAAATATGCAATAAATAGTAATTATATAATTTCTCGACTGCATATTTATCTTAACAATATTTTTTTATTCTCATAAAATTTTCTAATTTAATAATGTAAATTTCAAACTTGAAGTTGAGTTTAATGTTATGGTAACAAATTCAACTTTTTTTTATATTATAAACTTTCAAAAAATCAACTTTAAAATCCCCAAAAAAATGATATTTTGCACTGATTATTTTTAAAATATTAAAAATTAAAATCTGTAATCATTTAAAAACGATATTTTGTATTTTTAATTATTTTTTATCGTAATAAATCATTTTTAAAGAAATATTAATAAATTCTATGTAATTATTGGCGTTTAAATAGATGATACAATTGAAATATTCAAAACTATTTTTATTATAGTTATATCCTAGTTTTTAACTAATTAATAATAATATTAGAAATTATTAGTGACGGAAAGCATATAATTGTTAATTTGAAATTTTCACCAAAAATTGAATAACAAAAGTATCTTATTTACTCTGATGAAAATGGTTTGCAAACCATTTCTTCATAATTTACAACAAATTATTATCTAAAAAGTCAGTCAGTCTCGCTCAGTCAGCCGAACAGTATACACGTATTATCAGTATTCCTAAGTTATGACTAACGCGTTTATATTAGTTTTAACTAAATTTGTGTATGTTTTTTATACCTATACAACCGTTAAAGAAAACTCAGAATTTCTGCAACGTCTTCCAGTCGTTACTCATCTATCCCTACGGAGGATAGAAATTATATTAATTTTAATTGTACATTTCGGTCAATAATAAAATTATATCTACTTTCTATCGTATTCCAAGGCGTCGTCGCACACGGTGATCTTAGGACTCTTGATTAAGATAGTGTCATGCCGACCAACGCGACTCCAAATACACATAAAACTGTTTCGCCTATTAAAATTATCAACAATAAAATTGTAAACAAAAATAGCAAAAACATGGATTCCAACCCACAAACTAATAAAATAATACCTACATCACCGTCATCGCCGTCGCCATCTGCTAATGTCATTTAAAAAACAATATTATTTACCACTCCAAACCGCTATAGTGTTTTTGCTGATACTATTGATAATGTTGAAAATATAGAGAATGATGACAATAGCAATGGCAAACACAAGTCACCAATCAGGAGCACTTGAATACCTCTGAATATACACATGTGAATGTTGAGTTACCACCCCCTATCTTCATGAAAGGAATACTAAATTTCTCAGATCTATTAAAAGAGTTTACAAAATTAATAGGCCCAAACACATTTACATGTAAATCAACATCTACGCATCTAAAGGTTCAAACCGCAAACCCGGATAATTACAAAGGATGCACTATTTACAATGACCTCCAAAAACGTCGCCAAAACCCAACCAACTCAAAATACTACAACAATAACAGCACCATTTTCAGCCCAATAAATCATCACCCAACTCCAGCAACCAACCGGACAAGCCACATCAATATCAAGCCAACAGCAAACCAGTCATTTCTTCAATTGCTAACACACAATTCCAGTCATACACAACGGTCTTTGGTAACACCACATTAATTAATACGTACTCCAGTTATCCTCCCCCTAACATTGAAAATGACCTCTCTAAATTTTTAGATGACTTTAAGCAAGTCATAAATCCTCTTCTTTCCCTTTGACTATCGTCATCTCAAGTCTTTTAAATAATAAACATGACAAATAATCCAAACATACATAACTCACTACTCATCCTTTCATGGAACATAAATGATATTTTTAACCATAAAAATGAACTTTTAAACCTACTCCTTGACAAAAAAATCGATATAGCCTTAATCTCTGAAACCCATTTCACTAGTCGAAAAAAATTCTCAATTCTTGGTTACAAAACAATAAATACAAACCTTCCGGATAACTCCGCTCACGGTGGTGCAGCTGTTATAATTAAAATCACTATACAATTTTATCAATATATCCAATTTAATGAACATTTTTTACAGTCTGCTGCCATAAAAATAACACTAAATCATGTGCCCACTAGAATTGCAGCTGTATACTGTCCTCCTAAGCACTCGGTCTCTCCGTCAAATTTCAATAGTTATTTTTCTACTCTAGGCCACAGTTTCATCATAGGTGGTAATTTAAATGCCAAAAATTTATAATGGGGTTATCTTTCTAACAAACAAAGAGGAAATTCTTTACTCCAAGTCATAAATAATAGAAAATCTACTAGATCCATGTTTAGACCACTCACCAGTTTTATTAAAACTTGAAACCTCAGTACCCCATAGTTTAAAAAACCCCTCTCTTACAAATGGTAATATGAATTGGCCTAAGTTTCAAAATATTTTAAATAGTAACATTAATCTCAATGTAAGTCTAAAATCTCCTGATGAAATAATTCTGGCAGCGGTCGCGGCTTCCATCTGATAAACAATACTATAATAATCTGTCAACGCGTTTCAAATGCCTATTAAAAGAACTATGTTCTAATTCCTTTATTAAACATACTGTTTCTCTCTCAATTAAAAACGGTTCATTGTGGAGAACAACAAGAAGTATGCTGAGTTTCCACTCAGCAGTTCCCCCCTCTTAAAAAAGAGGATGGAACCTGGGCTATCTATAACCACGAATAAACAGACATTTTTCGTGAACATTTCTCTAAAGTTTTCCTACCCCATCACGATCTCCCAATCCCCCATCTCTAAAAAATATTGAAAAATCTTTGGAATCCCCTATACCTATGATATTACCTCCTAAACACTTTTCACCTGGAGAAGTTCGCAACTGTATAAATACATTTACTTTAAAAAAATCACCCTGATACAACCTAATTACTGCAGAAGTAGCCAGTCAGTTGCCAAAAAAAGCAATACTTTCTTTTAACATTCTTAGTAAATAGTATACTGCGTCTGACTTACTTTTTAGCTCAGTAAAAGTTTTCGGTAATTATCTTGATACCAAAACCAAATAAATCATTAAATGATCCCACCTCGTACAGACCCATAAGTCTACTTCTCTTCTTTTCTAAAGTATGTGAAAAACTTATTCTAAAGCGTATTATTCCAATAATAAAAGAAAAAAACATATTACTAGACAACCAATTCGGGTTCCGTGAACGTCACTTGACAATCCACCAGACGCACCGTTTAACCGATCTTATATCTCTTAGACTAGAGAAAAAATTGTACTGTACAACAGTGTTCTTAGATGTTTATCAGGCATTTAATCGGGTTTGGTACTCAGGTCTCTTGATTAAATTTCGTAATATCCTACCACCCTCTAGTAGTATAATAATGTATGGCAGCCATACCCCTCTGCCTTACATACCCCTCCCGCCCTAGTAGGGTGAGGGGGAAGGGGAGGGGAATGGAGCAAACCCCTTGTATTCTAATCCGATGCAACCCAACGTACACTAGTCCGATGAAACCCAACCTACACTAGTCCGATGAAATCCAACTCACACTTTGCACATGTGCTGCCATCTGGCGGACGGCACCCGCCCTGAAACCCAACACACACACAATTCGATCGCGCGTCCACGTAATCGTGTTTTCAAAACAATACAAAAATTGATCTCTTTACAACACTGTTCTATTAATCGTTGATTATAAGATGATGGTAGTGGGCAGCTCATCTTGAGACGCCTAATGTTGATGGGTCGCCAATTTTTTATATTGCCGAATGAGAGAGAATGTACGCTGACGGTTATACACTATTCACTCGCGCACACACTCTCTCCAACCACACACACACAATTCGATCGCGCGTCCACGTAATCGTGTTTTCAAAACAATACAAAAATTGATCTCTTTACAACACTGTTCTATTAATCGTTGATTATAAGATGATGGTAGTGGGCTGCTCATCTTGAGACGCCTAATGTTGATGGGTCGTCAATTTTTTATATTGCCGAATGAGAGAGAATGTACGCTGACGGTTATACACTATTCACTCGCGCACACACTCTCTCCAACCACACACACACAATTATGTGTGTAAAATATACTTATAAGCAATAATGTGTAACGAGATTAATGACCAATTGTAAATACTCATTATATCAATTTATTGATGGGAGGTTATGAAAAAATTTAAATACATTTGTCATAAAAACTACAGATTTATTTACACATTTTAACTAAATATACGTTATTTAAATAGCTGTGCATCGCAATAGCGACATTCTAATAGCCGTGGATAATTTAAAATTAAATAGTACTTGCAATTTGCGTTTATGCATATATTATCTCGGATCGGTTTAATAATAGATGTATCACTTGTAGCTTCATTTACACAAGCGCATATATTATAGTCATATTCATTATTATTACACATAACTAAATTTANGCCCGCTGGGCCGCACGTTCAATGTGCGGCCCGAACATCAACCTGTCGTCGATGAGCAGGCCCAGATAGCTCATGGTCCGCTTCAGCGGGACATCAGTCCCCAGTACGGTGAGCCTAGGAGGAACGTACTTGTACTTTCGCGTGAACAAAACCGCTTCGGTTTTGTCCAGCGCTAGGCACAAGCCGGTCCCCTCCTGCTGGATCCAGTCAGTGACGGCGCACAGCGCACCGTTTGCCCGGAATCCAGCCTCCTCCGCCGAAGTGCCTTCCGCCACCACGAGCGTGTCGTCTGCGTAGCAGATGACACGTGTGCCCCGTGGCAGCGGAACGCGGAACAATGCGTTGAACGCGATGTTCCACAGCAAGGGCCCGAGAACCGAACCTTGCGGGACACCTCCCGTCACGGTTTTGGTTCTGGGCCCTGCGGCACTCGCATACTCGATGACCCGGTCGT